GTAATATCTGTTAAGAATTTTTCTTAGTTTATTGATGATATGCACACGTCTTTTAGGCACAATTATTCAAATTTAAATCTTTTAAGAAAAATAATATTTTATTTTTTCATTGAGAACGTTCAATAATTTTAGATATGATTGAAATTTTAAATGTTTTTAATGTTTAATTTTATTGATTCTAATGGATTTTTATTGTAAATTTTCCATATAATTATAACTCTCAACTTTAGAAAACATCAGCAAATGATATAATCTTCTTAATAAAATTGTAATATTTTATTAGTATGGGGTAATTACAAGATAATGTCTATTCAAAAAAAATTCAATCATCTAACAATGAACGTTTAAATATCTCTACAAACATCATACTTGAATCTAGACCTCTAAGATTAACAATCATATTTTTAACCAATGAGGTTTCTTGGTTCGTGCAACAAATTTATAATTATGATGATATATTTTTTTTAAAATTTTCGATTAATTTAAGATGTTTACAAGTGATAATATTTGTTCTAAAAACTCTCAAACGTTAAAATACTCTGTAATTATTAAATATCAAACATGTTTTTACATTACATATCGGCAGCCTACATGAAATAAAAAACTTGGCAGTAACAAAATTGATTTGGCAACAAGATGGTCAGAAAATTGCGTGGATAAAACAATGGAAAAACTTAATCATGGCAGCAACATAAAAGTGGCAGCATCTTGAAGCTAGAAAATACGAGAGATGGAAAGGGAGTTTTGAAAAGCCTTTGTTAGTGGTGTTTGTAAAATTAACCGCAACTAGTATCATAGTTGTCCTTGTGTTGCTGTATTCTTATTTTAGTTTGTAATAATATCACGGGAGTTATAAAATTCATCGTGTGTCCAACCAACGGTTATCACTAATAATTAAACTTAAGATCTCTAAAAATAACAATAATCTTTTTAATCGATAAGATAAATTAGTTCATTGAATAATCTAATTTTAATGGTACTGGGAAGTTAAAATGTTCTCTGAACGTGGTCTACACACGTGTTTAAGGTTTTCTTAATCGTAGGTGTAAGATTTGATTTTTATACTGATCTACATTTGACTACCATGTTTTACTTACACCGTGTCTGCCCCCTGTCATTTTCAAATCATCAGAATGTTCATTTATTATGATCATATCAATTATTATTATTATATTACAAAATTTTAGGCTTAATTCATGAATTCTCTTTTCGAAGTAATTTTCTCACTTTGCATCTTAAATTATCCTTTTATTCTATCCCTTGCGTTGTTATTTTATCTTATTTTATTTGTATTTTAGTAAATTGAGATGGATATGATAATTTAGGAGGTAAATTTTAAAAAATAAGGTGTAAAGTAGGAAAAAATGTATACTTTGATAAAAGAATCATAAATTAAATCTAAAGTTTAATATGTTATTTTCTATGTTATATAATTTTAACGTGTTCGTACATGCATATATATATATATATATATATATATGTTTAATTTGTATTCCCGCTTAATTATTAGATTATCTTAAATATAATGCAGTATTTTCTAGAAAAAAAGGCGAAACAAACCCCTTTCAAGTCATAATAAAAAAGCGCTGGATATTAAGTTAATATTACCTAAAATAATTCCATTAATTTTTTTAATTAATGTAGGTGTGAATACAGTTTTAAATACAGGTGTATTTGGTTTGGAGAATGTGAGATTCCCATGAGAATGGAATCCACATTCCCCCGTTTGTTTGACCGGGAATGTCATTCACGGTAATCTTACATTACCAATAGTGAATTTTTTGGGGTATATTATCGGGAATATCATTACCTCCATTTCCTTAAGTATTGTTGGATTACCGACGTTTTGGACTAAAATACCCTTAAAAAAATTTATTTTCAAAAATATCCTTATTCTGTCATTGAATAATAAAAATTCTACAAAGGTTAAATTACAAATTTATCCTTAAACTATTTTAGATTTACAAAAAAAAATCTAATAATTAAAATTTTATATGAAGTTCAAGAGTTAAAATAAAATTTTATCCTTTCATTAAACCTTTTTATATTTTCAATTTTGTAAAAAATATTATATAAATTTTATGAATTTAAATTTTTAAAGAAAATATATAAATATTTTTCAACTTGTTAAAAAAACAAATATATAATAAAAACAATTTGGTCAAATATACATTCCAATAATATTTTATTCCTTTAACCAAACACGATAATCTTACATTCCTGCTAAACCAACCAAACACAAAATAAAACATTCCCAGTAATCATATTCCATGGTAATCTTTTATTCCCACTGGTAATCTTACATTCTGTGAACCAAACGCACCCTAAAAATAAAAATCCAATATAAATCCAACCCTATCTATTTATCCTAAAAAACTGTAGCCAACCAGCCGGGTAGTTATGTTGTACGACAATCTTAATATACGGCTAAGAAAAAGTCCTACTGAAAATGTTATTATTTTTTAACATTTTCGGTAAAGCGTTACCTAAAATATTATTTTTTTACCGAAAATGTTATTTTCGCTAACTAATTTCCGGTAGGATTCAATATTAACATTTCTGGTAGAAAAAATCATGGTTATCAAAACCGGACCAGATCGGCCGGTTCAATCGGTTGAACCGTGAACCAGTGGCCTGTCTGGTTCGGTTACCTCACAAAACCGGACTGGCAATGAACCGGCTGAAAACCGGTAGAATCGGCTGAAAATCGGTAAAATCGGGGTGAACCGACTAAAAATCGGTAAAAACCGGTTTGAACCGTCGGTTCTCTTTTTTTCTTTTAAAAAAATTAAATCAAACGACGTCGTTTGTTCAATGAGCCGAGTCAAATTCGAGTATTACTGAGCTCGACTCGAACTCGAAAACTTTAAAAGTAAGCTCAACTCGACTCAAAAACTTACGAGCTAAAAATTATCAAGTTCAACTCGAACTCGAAATATAATATTAAAACTTGAACTCAAAAAGGCTCGAACTTAAAAAAAAATTAGAAGTTCGATTGAAGCCTAGAATTTGAGCTCAATTGAAGCGAAAGAATAGTTCGCTCTGTGCTCATCAAAAGGCTCCATGATTTTGAATGTCAAAGTACCTCTATTATTTATAGAAGTAAGTTGGGATGCTCTTTTATGTTTCTTAGCCATGTGAGATTGTTTTGTTCTCATATTTTTACTTTTTAAACTTTTAGGATGTTCTTCTATGTTTCTTAACCATGTGAGATTATTTTTAAAAAAAAATTAAACCAAATGACATCAGTTGTTATGATTTTTTAAGCCTCAATTTTATTTTTTTATTATAGTTATATAATTATATTTATTATTTAATATGTTTTATCTTAAATATTATGTTGTAGTTGATTTGAATCATTTTGTTTCACTTGATTTATGGTTTTTAATTTATATATGTTATGACTTGTGATATTTTTATACCTTTTAATATTGTAAACTTAAAAAAAGTGTTACATATATATTAATATTACTTTGAATATTATGTAAAATTAAAAAAAAATATTATTTTATATAAAATCCGGTTCAACCGCGGTTGAACCAGTAAACTAGTACTTTCACCGGTTCAATGTAAAGTCCAGTTTTAAAAATATTGGAAAAAAATAATGTTTTATGTAACGTTTTATCGAAAATATTAAATATTTTAGGTAATGTCCAATATTAATATTTTTGGTAGAACAATAATATTTTAAATAACAATTTACTAAAAATATTAAAAAAATAATAATATTTTTTAATAATTTTTTTAATAATATATTAAGACTATCGTATCTTAGACATCCCATCCATACATATGAAGAATAAATAAGACAGCCGCTTTCCGCTTTTTTGCTTTTTGTTTTGGAAAAACACAGCCCAACTAAGAAGGCGTTAAGCCGAAATAGCCAATCATCGCACGCGTGACTAAGATGCCTTTGTAGAGTCACCCTCTTTACATCATATCAACCGTGTACGTGTTGGCTACAACACCAATAAATGGGTAAAGTACGCAATGGTTCATTGATTATAATATTATTTTACGTATACTTTTAACTATTAAAAATTATAAAATTATTATTTAATTATAAAATATTATTTTATTGATTCTTTCAATTATTAAAAATTATAAAATAATAATTAAATTATTTATATATTCTAAATTTATCATTTTCCTTTAAAAATTGATGGTTATTTGAGTTGGACGTTGACTTGTTCATTAGGATATAATGAAATTTGATCTCAAAACTATTGGAATTGTATTTTATGTATCGAGTATCTGTTTATATTATGCCATCGAGTTAATGCTTAAAATATTATGTCGTCGATCTAGTACTTCAAAGCAACGATAATGCCAATAGACTTCATTGAAATATAATTTTATCATATCACTGTCAATAATTTAACGTCTAGCTTAGACAACTGGTTTAACGAAAAATGACGAGTTTGAAAGATATGAATAATCGATCATCAATTTGTAAGTTATAATAATTTGAGAACTCAACAAAGTAGTGTCATACAGTCAAAGACCATTTTATAATTGTTAATAGCTGAAAGATTTAACAAAGTAACATATTATAACATAGGGACCTTTTGCGCATTTGACCCTTGATAAATTAATTAATATTTGTTTTTTCAAAAGTACGAAAAAACCCTTTTCTGCTAGTGAAACGAAACATTGAAGCTCAGAGAATGAGACGAGTCGCAATACCGACCGTTTTTTTATTATAAAAAACATCATTTTCATCCATTATCAATTTTATTATTTATTATTATTTATTATTATTTATCCACTAGTGTTTTTAATTAGATAAACATGATTACTTTCTTTTCCACCCTTTCTTTTCTATAAATACCCAACTCCATGTTCATACATTTTCATCATTGTTGTTGCCTTTTTTTTTACCGGAAATATTTGGTTCGATCCATTCTACGATAAATCAGTTTCTTAATACTCCCCAAAACGAATCTACTTTCTGGGATTGTTGTCATTCATCACAAAAAAAGGAAAAAATATCTTCGAATTTCGTTTGGAGCTGCTGAATTTGGTTCATCAATCTGATTCGTTTTGGGTATTCTTCTTCGTTCTTGTTCAAGTCGAATTTGTTTTTCCAATCTTTCCTAAGATGGTTTGCGTGGTTTCTCGTACCGGAAGGCACTTGCAGCGATATGATAACTTGGGCCGCCGCCAAGTTGTCGGGTGAGTATTTGTTCTTTTATGAAATGGAGTTTTGGTCAGATTTTTCATGCTGGGACTGTTTCCAGAGTTTTTATTTTTCCATAAACGAACCCTCGTTGTTTTCTTCAAATTTGACGATTTGCAGGTGCATTCCCTATAGATACAAATCCACCAGTGATGGAACCACTAGCAATGACCTCGAGGTTCTTGTAATCTCTTCCCAGAAATGTCGAAAAATGATGTTCCCCAAGGTACACGAACATGAGAATCTTCAAAATTTTCAACAATTTTTTTCCTTAAAAAACGATGTTTCTTCAATGTTAATCATTCAGTTTTGATTATCAGGGTGGTTGGGAGCTTGATGAATCTAGAGAAGAAGCTGCACTAAGAGAATCACTTGAAGAAGCTGGTGTTCTAGGCATCGTTGAGGTCAATATCTATTTAATGAAACTTAATCAAACTCTTAAATCTTTTTTCTCCGAATGCTAAACATTCTTCATCTTTCAAACAGTGTGAACTGGGGAAATGGGATTTCATAAGCAAAAGGCATGGCACGTTTTATGAAGGCTACATGTTCCCTTTGCTAGTGAAAGAAGAACTTGACTTGTGGCCAGAACAAAATCTCAGACAAAGGACTTGGGTAAGCTTTAGTGTTATCAAAAATGGCTCCCAAGTTTCAATATGATCAAAAACTGATTCTTCTGTTTTTTTTTTTCTTCTTTTGATTTTGTTTAGATGAATGTTAAAGAAGCAAGGGATGTTTGTCAGCATTGGTGGATGAAGGAAGCTTTAGACATATTGGTTCAGAGACTAAACACAGTGGATCAACAAAATGAACAAAAATTTCCCAATTTGTGCACTGATTTGGCAGCAAAAATTTCCCAATTTGTGCACTGATTTAGTAGCTGGGAAATGTTAGGAAAATAACTGTAAATCATTGGGAATTCGGGTTTTGTTTTATATTGAACAGATTTGAAGTTCGATATATAAATTTTTTCGAAAATGAACTTTCTAGTGGCAAAGAGGAAGATGGGAGAAAATAAATGGAACAAATCACCACAAATCCCAAGGTCATAAAATTTCAAGCATTTCAGGCATCAATTGGGGGAAGCACATTCTTCTATGCCATGTGAGGTCCAAATTGCTTTGTTTTTTTTTTTTTGCAGGAGAAATTGCTTCATTCCAGAATTTGTCTTAGTGGATCCTTATCTTTTTAAGTGACGTTTGATTCATAAATTATGTTGTCTAAAACTTGATTAAGGGAAATAAAAATGTTTAATGTTTTTTTATAATTATACGCGAGTTAAAAATAAAGATGGGTGTTTTAAATATTTCAATATTTAAGTTTAAATAAATTTATTAAGTGACGTTCGCCATAAAATATGTTACTTATCTTTGAGGATTCGGGTTTTGATATCTGTATGTTTGCATTTACATGACATGTGTTATTAATAGTTTAGAAAAATCTTTAAGAAAATGTTATTTTATATTATATATTATATATAAGTTATTAATTTAAATTTATTCTGATGTAGTTTAGATTGTATATGAATTATATCCTCAATTAGTTAATTATTAATATGTTTGTGTATGCATTACAATGATTAATTTAGATTTTTTAATTAATAAAATTAACTGTTTTTATTATAAAAATATTAATTTTAGTTGTAGTTAATTTTTATTATAATAATATAAAATATAATAAAAAATTTAGCTGACCCTTATTTATATATATAATAGGGTAAGGGAGAGGTCAGATAGTAGGCTGCCCCCAACGCCAGGTTGAGAGCAGCTTCCGTGGGAGACCTCCAAATTATGAATTGCCCATTATGAGACTCAATCCCACGATCTTAAAATTAAGAATCTTGTGCTCTACCAACTGAGCTGGATTGGCAACTCTAATAGAAATATAATACTTATAATTAAAAAATATATACCATTTAAAAGTTATATAAATATTTTTTTTAAAAAAATCACGTGACATAACACTACGGAATCATTTATTAAAAAGTTACGAACCTTCTCATTTTCATGATATTGTTGAATTAAGATGTCGGCCACCAATCAGGTAAAAGTAGGAAAATTATTGGAAATTTAGTTAAAATTATTTAGATATATTATTCCAATAGTTGCTAAATTCTAGTCTGCATATTAATTTTAACATTGAAATTTAAAACATTTCAATTTTAGTACTAATTTTTTATATTGATTTTTGTTATCATTGAATCATTATTAACAGTCAACCAAATTAACAGTTCGGTGCTGATGTGGAAAAAAATATTTTTTATTCCACCTTTTCACCTTCTTCGTTAAAATGGGAATTTTCACTTGATTCTTTGTCGGTATAAAATATCGACATTCTTTGACGTCTTTTGCAATCATCTTAAATACCGTCGAACTTGTCTCATCATTCTCTATCATCCATAAGTTTAAAATTTTTCTAAACCCCTTTGAAAGTCACAAAATTTAGCATAAGAAATCCATCATACCTAATAAATCAAAATGACGATTATAGACATTAGTTTTTTGCCCATTTTCTTTCATTTATTTTATTATTATTTTAATATTATTATTTAATATTATTATTATTAATATTAATATTATTAATATTATTATATATCCAAACCCGGAGCCCAATTACAATTGGATCCCAGATCTAACCCGAAAGCCCAACCCGGTCCAGACCCGGTTCAATAGCAAACCCGATCAAGGCCCAGATCCGAGCAACCCAACCCGGTCCAGGCCTAAATGACCTAAAACCCAATTAGGGTTTCCATATATTTTGTTAGGGTTTCTAAACCCTATCTTCAACTGCCGCTTCCATTACTGACTCCTCCACTGCCAGGTGCTTCAGCCCGCCGTTGCCATGATGCCATGCCTCGTCAGAAGCTTCCAGAAGGCCAGATGGATGCCCACGTCGCTGTCCTATGCTGAGTCACCACCATAGTTCGGTGACTCACCTAGGCTTCTCTTCTTTAGCCGGTCTAAGACGAGCATTGTGGTGGCTATAAAAGCCATCGAACCTGCGAGAAAGAGAACACACCAACAACAAGCAACATACGAATAAAAAAAAGCTACCAATGATCCCAGTCAACAATAAATCGAAAGGAAAAACAAAGGAAAGAAGAATCTTACCAAGGAGGAAAGCCCAAATGTCGCTCGAGCATCCACGCACCGCCGTTGAAACGAAATATCGAAGGTAAAAAAAAATTAGATCTACATTGACCTAAAGGGTTTTAGGCTAAAATAAATTTGGATTTGGGCTTAGAAAAATTGGGGCTTCGATTTGGGGCATTTTTGTAAAATCCAGCGGTGGTGAAATTTTTTTATTTAGGTGACTGACTGAACGTGAAAGAAGAAAAAGGGAGAGATTTTTTTTCTCTATTGAGAGAAACGATGAAGAAGAGAGTGGCTAGGTTAGCCATATTTTCAATTTTTACATATTGGTCATTGTTTAATTGTAAATTCTGATTTTATTATTATTGTACTTTATGTTTCAATACTTTAAATATAATCCTTTAATTATTGCTCTTTATTTTATATTCATTTCATTTTAGACTCATAAGCATAACATGATCGATTTTATAATTTGATTAAATAATAATATTTATTTATTTTTAAATATTAAAGAAATGAATGTCTTAAAGTAACTAGATGTCCTATTATACTATTTTAAAATAAATAAATACTCTATTTATAAAACCTGAAAAATCAAATATGCCTATTTAGTCGAATCAAGTTATTTTAATCTAAAATTCTTGGGAAGAATTATGGCATTCTTATTATTTTAGTTGGAAAGAGAAATATTCGTCCTAAAATAATTTAGGGATTAGTTTCTTTTCAATTGGAAATATTGGAATATTTTCTGTTTTTCCTTAGAATTTTCTTTAAATAAATTTTACGTTTGAATATGGAATAATAGGATCGTAAATTAAATTTATATTTGAATTCTTAGATTTCCACTAATAAAGACAATTTATAATCGACATGTACCAATTTTGGGCGTTGTGGGGGTGCTAATCATTCCCAAACGTAACCGACTATGAATCCCTAAAGAATGAATTTTTGGTTATACGCAGACCAGTTTATCTTTTAAATGATGTTTCTCTTAAAAACTCTTTTCAAAAAAATGATTTTTAGGTATTTGACCTACCTAACCCAAAAGGTCGATGGCGACTCCAAAATCGTTTCAATAAAAACCATTCATTTATTCACCATACTTTTCCAACCAAGAAAAATTCGTGCCCGGGCGAAAATCGGTTACGATAGCTTGGCAACTCTACTGAGGACCTGGTCAAACCTAAGTCGATTATATATTGTCTCTATAAGTTAGAAATTGAGAATTCAATTTTATTTAATTTATGATTCTTTTGATTTCTTTCAATTTTTCCTTGTATATTAATGTTTGTATCTAATTGCTTTTTAGATATTAATTTTTGTGTGAAAACTTCTCCTCACACACAACACTTGCATTGCATAAACATAAGCTCTATACTCGAGCTCTTTTCCCTTTTAAGTGGTAGTAAAAACGACGTCTTCGTGAGAATTTATTATCTGTGTCAAACCTAGCAAGTAACTTTCGGGGTTAATATGTCCTATATCTTCGTGAGAATTTATTCTACGTGTCAGACATAGGGAAATGTGCCCTCTCGAATTAAACTCAATTTGAAGTCTGTAACGGACTATGATTGAGGGTTTGACAGCCTAAGGGGGCACCAACAAGGATAATTCAAGTACCTTTACTCCTATAACCTAAACCATGCATATAATAAACCGTAGAAATTCATCCGATCTAAGACAATACTGAAACTCTGTCCGTAGGTGTACACAAAGAAGAAATAAGCTCTAACTTTAGTCTTTTAATTTATTTGATATTTTTTCTGAATAAATGCATACGAACTAGAAATCACGCGATTAGGTTTATTTTTCCAAACAAAGCATGGAACTAGAAAGCATGAGGTTAGGATTTATATATAGATACCATGATCTTTTCTTTCTATTAATTGGTACTAACCATTTTATTTTATTTTTTTAATTTTTCCATGCATTTTATTTTTCTCTAACTTGTTTATATTTCTTTTGTTTGCATCACATTTGTATTGCTCAATACATTTCCAAATCATGCATTAAAATATTCATTCATTAAAATATTCAGTCATTAAAATAAGGATTTCGACCGAAGTGATCTTGGTTCTACTTGTAGCAAGAACGCTTAGCACGACACAAGAAAAATGTCTAAAGAAACTGAGGTTAGGCTGGCCAAATTTGAAATAGAGCAAAAAAAGATACAAGAAGAATTGAGGAGCAAGTTGGCACAAATTGAAGCCAATATCGAAAACTCTTAGATCAATCTATTGAATAAGATGAAAGAAATGTTTGGGAAACATTTGACCGCTGTAAAGAGTCTTGTTAAAAATCCCACATATCCTCTTAGTGTTACATTTGTTCACATTCTGGGGCACACCTCTGCGCATCAGGAAATCCAACCAACAGTTCACTTCACTGTTAAGAACCTACAATATCATACTAGAGCTTCGTTCCCCACTGACTGTCCTACTGCTTCTGGGTTGAAACCAAATGAATTTTGTACTGATAATGAGGTCCCTGACCTAAATGAATTAGTTGAGAAGGAAAAATTCACCCGACGACTGAAAAATATAGAAGAGGTGATAAAATCTAGAGAGATGGCTGAATCATTTTATAGGTTTGACGCCGATGAGCTAAGTTTGGTCCCCAACCTGGTTCTGCCACCAAACTTCAAGGTTTCAGATTTTGAGAAGTATAGTAAGACCACATGCCCTTCATCTCATATCACCATGTACTATCGTCGCATGACTAGCTATGTGGAGAATGAAAAGTTATTGATCCACTGTTTTCAAGATAGTTTATCTGGACCTGCATCCAAATGGTATAATCAACTAAAACGTACTCAAATCCGTTCTTGGAAAGAC